TTATTTTTCATTAAAACATTGTCCTATCAGGGGGGGGAACCCTTGCTTGATAACTGATCCAAGTTGGGCGACAAATGGTGGGACGTTATTTGCCCTGCAAGCAATCTCCAATAAATTCTTAGATTTGCCGCCTGATGTCCGCTTGGTTCCTTTTCATTATGGGGGCCGAATCGTTTATTAAAAAGAACCCCCTTCTTCCGTTTTCGGGACATGTTCGTTTAAACTTGGCCCTTTTTCGCTTCTAAGGGGAACAATTTCCCGCTATGGGTTTTGGACCCTCCATGGATTCTTGCCGCTCGGAAAAAAAAACTTCCCCTCCCACTAAATCCCCCTGGTTATAATTTTTTTCCATCCATAATCTAGATTTCTTGCCGGTGCGGGGGTTTTTGTTAGTTCCACTGGGAAAATTTCCCTTTAAAAATTCAAAGGGATCCCCACTTCTTGGGACACCCAAAAATTTATATTACCGGGCGCTAAGCGGGTTCCTGGTTGGTCCCGGATGGCCTTGGTATTGTATAAACCCCCACCAAATTATGCTATAAGACCAATGTAGTGTTCCGGATTGTCTTTCTGGAGTGGTTTGTGAGTTTGTTCGGAACCCCTTGATACCAGCTCCAACTTATTAAAAAAAAAATATATTGATGGCCGCTTTAGGCGGGTTTCCTAGCTTTCCGGATGGGCCTTGGTATTGTTTTTAAAAAAACAAACCAAATTTAATTGGCTTTTAAAGGACAATTGTTTAAATGGTCGGGATTGGGACTGAGCGTTTGGAGTTGTTCGAAACCTTGGTATTCAGCTCCACTTTATTTTTACTTGCTGTCCAAAACCAGGGGCTGGTTTTTTTCCCCATTTTTTTGCCCGAAGGGTTCTCTTGCAAAATAATGTTCAGGATAAAAACAGGGGGGACCTTAGGGCTTCAGGGGTGAAAGGGGCAAACCAAATGGGCTTATGGGACTTCAGTAACTTAATTAAAGGGGGGGAAAGGGTTCTTTCAACCCCAGTTATGTAAATTAGAATTTAAAAATCTATTTTTGTAAACCCAATGGACAAAAAAAGGACCAGTGACCAAAAGTTATTAATCATTTTTAAAATTTTCTGTTAAAATTTCTAAAAAGCAATCAAGAAAAAAAACCATTGTTCATAAAATAATAACAAAAGGTTTCATGTAAAAAAACTTAATTAAAAACTCATTTTAAAAAATTATTTTTACCAACTTATGGGGCTAACCACTATAATTTTAACTGAAATGCTAACCCCTTGTGCAAAGTATTAATGGAATAACTTTATATTTTTATGTTCCATGTATTATAGGACCTAACAAGGGGGCCTCAAACTTTTTCATATGGGCAATGTTAATAAAATGATTTAATGGCAAACCCAAAAGTTAAACTTAAAAAAGGGATAATTTTTAAGAAAAAAAGCTTATTATTACTTATCAATTGAGAATCTACAAACATTTACAAGATTTTCTCTTAACAAAATATTTTTTTTGAAGATATTAAATTTTCTTTTTATTAAACCAAGAAAAAATGTACTTTATTAATAAAATTTTTTCTTCTATGTTCTATCGCTATTTGGTTAAAGTCACATAAAACCTTTTAGGAAAAATAAAAAATTGGCTTTTAAAACTTGTTTTCTTAATTTATAGCTACAAGGGAGAGTAACGGGTTGGCCCCCCGGCCGAAAAAAATTATCTTTGAAAGTCCCCAGAAACCCGAGGGCAAAGGGGGGACGTTCTTTTGGTATTTATTTAACAAAAAACTGAATGTACCGAATTTTGTAGGCATTGCAAACAAAAAATGATGCATTTAATGCCATCATTCTTGTAAGCATAAAAACAAGGAAACGACATCAATGGCGGCAATTAAATTTGAACGTAGCAAAGCGCGGCATCTTTTAACTTTGCCAGGCAGTGATGCAAAACTTTAAAAAAAATCTTTTGAATAAATTTTTCATACCCGGAGTAGGACCACTATTAAATTAATGATTTAGGGAATGTTAAGAAACAAAAATAATTACTTTGATATTGGGGACGGGTTTTTCTACCAGTTTTTTTAACAAGGGCTGGGCCATTAGCTATCTATTCTTAAATCAAGACAATGTAAACGATACGGAAAAAATATCCTTAGCGCACCGGCGTCCGTAGCAATACAACCGGAATGCCTAAAATAAAACTGGAAGATGTCAGTACAACAACAATGTGCAAGTGTTTTACAAATTAAATCAATAAATTTGGAAGGTTTAACAAGTTACTTCACACAATAAAAGAAAACATATGTTATTAACGATTTAAACTGGATTTATCACAAAAACTTCACGGACTAGGATAAACGGAGCAGCAAAAGTGAAAATACAAACTGTTTACATTTTGAACGGAGACAGTGCGATGTAAAAACTAAGAAATCCTGGCAAAACGCATAGATAAGGCAAGTTGAGCTGAATATTTAAACAGTCCAACTGTCTTGATTTATACGGGAAGCCAGTGAAAGCTGCAAAAATATTTGTTGTTACAAAAATAAAAAAAAAATAAAAGGTCACAGAATAGATGAAAATCACCAGGTAAGTATCAGTTACCATTAAATACCGGGGCACTACATTATTACTGTTTAACTACTTGACAGACTGTCCAGGAACGATGCGGTGGCTGAACTGTGCTATGGTATGTATATTGAATTAGGCTTACTGCCATAGTCATCAGGGTAAATCATTAATACCACCATCATTCTCTCATTAGACTTGTAATCTGAACATTGTGGGTTTGATTCCCGGGATGACCAACTGAAATTACTAGAAATCTTTCGGACGAGACTTTAAAGCGAAGTCTTGCTATCTGTATCTTGCGTTGTCCTTCAAAATCTAAAACGACTAATACTCTTCTGGAGGCCTTCCCTTTACGGGCATCCGATAGCAAGTATTAAAAAACTCAATTACACACACATATTTTCTCAGTTTTAACACACGTCAGAGGTTTCTTAAAGTTTTCAAGTTTCATTTAAAACTTTGATTTCGGAGTGTAATATACCATCCAAAACAGAAAGCAAAGAAGGGTTGGGGGAGGAATCAGAGGGGCAGAAGGCACGGAATATGCCAACAAAATTGGGGGTGTGAATAACGGCCGGGAAATGGGATAGCATGCCATACGAATACCGTCCGACAGCCGACCAGATATCGCACGAATACTTAACCGTCACCGTACGATTGTTGCAAACAGGCCAGATAACGGAAGGCAATTGGACATTTATCGTACGGTAGTCTACCGGTTACCTTTCAGAATATCGACCGGTGTCCAGAAAGAAGATGTCAAGGGTTTTAACCGGGTGACCGGGCGAGCACCCTTCGGAAACCGTCCGAATACCACCGTGGGTAAGCAAATAAAATAGAGAAAAACAGAATCCCTAAAGAAAGTCCAACACAACAAAACTGAAAATGTTGCAGGCTTGGTTTGATTGAGCCTTTTCATGGACGGTACTGGAAAGTGCAAGTTAACGTCCACGCCCCCTAGCACCAACTTACAGAAATGTCAACGTACACATACTGTCTATAAAATGTCAACGTACACACTCCCAATTTAGTTTGAAAATGGTCTGAACATGAGGCTGCAACTTCGAAGTAGGTGGCTTTTTCCAACAAAAAGTTGGCTTTTAATTAAGATTGCCCTCTCAAACTGTATATAATAACTATTTTTTTTACAAAGGAAATAGTTTAGAGTGCATTCATTTCATCGCAAATAAGCTTAAACAACCTTTAACTTTTTATGTTATTTATTTGTACTTGTGTTTTAGAAGACAAATTTCCAGTTACTCAAACTGCTTAATGATTAGCTGAAACAACCGTTTTTATTATTTGTTTGGGTCGTCAGGCTATGTAGCATAATCTAAATCGGCTGGACAGAAAAATAATCACTAAAAACTTACCTCAGCCGAGCTATTTTGGCCGTGTACGTTGACTTTTGTGGTCACATGATCAAAGTTGCTTACCCTTGGTGGACCAGAGAAGGAGAATGACCGCCCACTTCTTCCCGGACATTATTGAAATATTTCTCTCCGATCTCAAATTATCAACAGTGTCCCATCAATCCCTCTATATCGGCTGGTCTCCGCTTGTAATGTGACGTAGGCATTAGTAGGATCCTATATAACATATCCATCAATTATCTTTGACCTATAATATTCAATTAAAAGGAAAGAAACATATTGGGTTGTAGTTGGGTTTATTTTGAATAAGATAACATATTTCTACATAAGAGAATTAAGAGGATATTATCGTTTGAGTGAAAAATGGAATATATTTCACGAAACATAATAATATTCTATAAATTTTCACAAGCCGGTAGGGGAGTGAACTATATATAATTTAATTATGATAAGTGCAAATACACTCCATATTTCATGAGAAACGAAAGAACAAAAAAGCAACAACATTTTTCATATTATTTTACCTTCAAGAAAAAAGTTGTTTACGAATGCATGTATTTGCTTCGCAGTTGCAATTGTACAGCGCGCAGAAATACATTGATTATCTTAAAGTGCGCGACGCGGTTTGAATTTAATACATAATTTATCACACATAACTGTCTTGAAAAAATACCAACAACATAAAAGACAGTTTCCGATGATAAAATGAATAGCCGAACCTACTCATTGCAAAAGAGAAACATCTGAGAAAGTAGTCCCAAACAAATATGAGTTTTTGCTCCGCTCACTGTCAAATTTATTTTTCATATTTTGTTTTTCACAAATATGATATATATTTGGCTGATATAGCACCATATCCTATGGGTAAAATTAAATAATATGACAACATTGCCATTGTCAATAATTTTTCGAACAAACGCAATACAATTCCTTCGAGTGAGTAATTCTCTAATGGAAAGAGGTTGTATGCTGCTTCAGTGAAATACACAGTCGCCAGTGTAACATACCTTCCATCAAGATTGAATCCTATGCATGAAATTTTTATTTTATTTTCAGTTTTAAAGTTGTTTTTTTTCTTTTTACCAGATAACATATTTCTACATGAAGGATAATTATCATGATATCTACGGTGAGTCGCACGAAGAAGATAACCTTCCATGGAGTGAGTATTTTTGTAATGTAAAATGGTGGTTCATTATGTCTATAACTGGTGATGTGTTCACATTGATGGGTGTTTTATGGATAGTGACAACGGTAAGATAAATTTATTTTTAAACATTTTTTTTTACATATTCATAGTTTTAAGTATGATGCGAAGAAATTTTGAAAAGCTCAAACAACGACGGTTCGTTTGGTTTCATAGTAAAACGTCACAGTATGTAAAAGTATCTTCAAAACAAAAACAATATTTTTTTTTAAAGATTTACAATTTTTGTCTAATCATGATAACCTGATGAAAAATTAAAGTACCTTTAAGTTAGTTATAATGAAAGATATCGTTACCCTTATAATTGAAATTTCCCACTTTTAAGATAGCTTTTTGGTATTGACATGTGAACAAGCTACCATATTTTATTGCAAATCATTATCTCCATAAAATTGAATAAGTTATTTCTAAAGCAGCAGTATATTTGTAACCGAAATGAAAGTAAACAATTTAACACTTTTCAAGGTCCATTATGCCTCAGAAACAAAAACAAAAAAAATGTCCTTTAATTTACAAAGGGTGAACATGAAATTTAAAATGTTTAAATAATAATTGAAGGATATATTAGATGCGCATATTTGAAGCTGAGAAGTAATTTGTCATGATAACAGAAGTAAAATGTAAACAAATAAGTACTTTGACTTCCGTACAAAATACTTAATCACAAGAACTGGACTAATTGCCAAAATTTAACAGTAGCAAAAGATGGTTCCGGGAACAGATCAAAGAGTGCTTCCATTGAAACTATAACAGGACACCAGACATAAAAAAAGTTTTTTTTAGAAATAACAATACAGACATTGCTTGGCACAATGGGCCGTTAGGTAAAAATACTGGGTCTTATATCAATTCGTATAATTAGAATTACTTAACTACTTCTTTACATGTTACAGCTCGGTGAGGAAAGTGATTTCAAACAGCCTTTGAAAGAATGGGACAAAAATGTTGTTTATATTGGCTCAGGATGTTTATTGACATGGTTTTCTATGTTACGATTTATAAAAATTAATCACAAGTTCACGGTAAGTAGATGTAAATAATCCTCAATTTGAACATTCTTTCCTTATAAAATAAAACAAGTATAAAGGAACAATTTCATTTCAACATAGAATTGGCATTAAAAGATGACCGGACAATTTTAATTCAACCTGCACTTTACTCTAACTTAGACTTTTATCTTTTCAAAAGCGACAGTGATAACAAAGCAACTAACTATTTTTGCTAAGTAGAACATTGGAATTAAGTACAGAATACAAGATACAAATACATTCATCCTGTGTATATTCATATATGAAACCTTTTGTTTTATATATTTACTTAGCAATAGATCCAGTTTAAATTAAACTAATCTAAATCAAATTAACTTTGTTAAACATGTATAACCAGTGTATGAAGAACATACTCTTTATAGCGTATCGTTTTTAGTCCCCTACCGGTTTACCCTCCGTCCGTCCGTCCGTCCGTCCGTCCGTCCGCACTTATAGGAGAGTAATTATGTGGCTAGAGGGACAATAGGTAACTGTTTTTTCTCTTTGATGTCATTCATTCCGTAATGCTTTTATGTGGCTATTTTCTTTTGTGTGGCTAAAAAGAACAATAGAGAGAACAATAGAGAAGCCACATAATTACTGTCCTGTGAGAACGTATGTCTGTCCGTCCGTCTGTCCGTCCGCACTCACAGGAGAGTAATTATTAGGCTAGAGGGACAATAGGTAACTGTTCTTTCTCTTTGATGTCATTCATTCCGTAATGCTTTTATGTGGCTATTTTCTTTTGTGTGGTTAAAAAGAACAATAGAGAGAACAATAGAGTAGCCACATAATTACTGTCCTGTGAGAACGTCCGTCTGTCAGTCCGTCCGTCCAATAAACTGGATCCAGTGATAACGCAAAAAGTACTAGAAATATTTTTATGAAACTTAAAATATGGGTAGATGGCAGTCTTGAGATTATGCACGTCTTTTTCTTTTCTTCCTATGTTGAAAATTCTGGTTGCTATGGCAACAAATAGGCTGAAAATATGGCAAATTTTACACATAAACTGGATCCAGTGATAACGCAAAAAGTACTGGAAATATTTTTATGAAACTTGACTTATGGGTAGATGGCAGTCTTGAGATTATGCATGTCTTATCTGTTCTTCCTATTTTGAAAAAATATCAGTTGCCTTGGCAACAAATAGGCTTAAAACATGGCAAATATAACAATATTTGTGATAAGTCAAAAAAAGCTGAAATTTTTTTATGAAATTGCATCTTTAATTCAAGAGTTATCTCCTGTTTAAGAATTTTGCTTTTAAAATGTTATATTTTGGTAACAGGGATGTTTCAAATAATAACTTTAGAGTGTCCTTCAGTCCGTCTGTCTGTCTGTTGATAAAAACTGTTTCCTGTGATCACTTTTTAAGAACTTTTCCAACAAATTTACTTAAAATAGAGAAAAATTGAAACATTAGTGAATGGCCCTTTAGAATGTTGATGGGGTTTTAACCGGTAGGGGACTTATGGATTGCTTGCAATACTATGATAATTGCTTGTTATATTTGTTTCAGTTGTTGTTCAAAACACTCAAAAGATCAGCTCTAGACGTCATCTTTTTCATGACATGTGTAACAATCATCTTTGTGGGTTTTTTGTTTTGTATTTATATTGTACTTGGACCATACAATGTTAAGGTATTTCATTTTTTTAATCTAAACCCATTCCATACAATTGTTTTACGTCCAGGTCATATGGCCACTTTTCTCCTTTCATGTTGAGAGAGACCACCACAATCTTCCTTTATTGTGCTTTGTCAGGCACGATTGGGCACATACGTATAACCATCGACCTTAAAAATGTTAAGATAATAAATACAGATCGCTTGAAATTAAAATCAAAAGTTTATTATGGTAAATTATGTGGTGCAGAGTAAATTGTAGGAATCCCGATAGAAAATATAATGTTTTGTACTTAACATCATGTGATTTATTATAAAGCAAAAGTTCAAACCATTTATATCCCGTATAAATTCCCTATTTTAAACGGCAATACAAAGAAAAACAAACACGAAGAAACAAAATAAAAGGTATTTAAGCACGTTCTTGAAATATTAAAAAAGTTTCAGCAAAGGAATATATGAATTGCATAATACTTGTTGTAACGCAGCCGGTATTTACAATATTTTACTTTATTTGCATGTAATTTCAAAGCATTGATTGTTGTAACCAATACACGCAAAATATGACTATTTATCCAAAACTGCCACGGATTTTAAATGGCCAATAATACGCTACCATCTTTATTCCTCAAAATCATGTTATTTTTGGTATCTTGTTACAGTTTGTCCAAAGAATTACTTATTTGCCATAAAAAATAACTATCATTCTTCATGTGTCATGTTAGTAATTGTTATCATAAAGGTGAATTAGTATTTTGTATGAAAATCAAAATACTACTTTGTTAAAATATTCCAACTTCATAACACATTAATACAATTTTAGTGTTATTTCTTACAGTTGTTTAACATTTACAATGCAAATAATGTTTGACATTTGTAAAGAATTGAAAAATATATGGATTTCTAAGACATAATGTCCTTTTTCAATTAATTCAATTAAAAAAAACTGCTAAATTTTCAGTTTGACAAACTTTCTACAACTGCGGAAACATTATTTTCGTTGATAAATGGTGACGAAATTTTTGTATCGTTTGAATATCTAAAAAGGGAAGAGGCTGGAGACCAACAAAGAATATATTTATTTTCAAGAGTTATCATCTTTATCTTTGTTATCATCTTCACTGTGTTTGTATTAAACCTCTTGATAGCTTTGTTCAACAGCGCTTATGAAGTCGTTAAGGTAAAGTTAATAATTTATATTTGTATTTGAGTTAAATGCGTCATTCTTAAGATGTTATACCTTTTATCTTATCCAAATAATGTGTTTCTGATTCAGTATCTGTGACAATATCACTAGCTTATAATAAGTTGTGATACTTTTTTTCTAAATATTATGTTTCTGATACAATACCTTTGACAATATCACTAACCTATGATTTGGATTATTTCTCTTTCATGCATTGTAACACGTATTTATTTTTACTGAAATTAATACATTTTTTCCTTTTTTTATCTTAATTTTCTCTTACAAATTAAAACCGTTTTTGATTGTTTGAATATCTTAGTTATAATATAAATCATGAATCTGTTCTTGTATAGAATTCATATGAACAAGAAAATGAGACGGAACGAGCAAGAAGGAAACTCGTACCAAAGACACTGACGTATTTCATGTGTAAAGATTTCGAAGAAAGTGCAAAATTTGACAGGTGTTGCGGTGCCTCGGCTGATGGAAAAAGTTTATTTAGCCACAGATGTTTCACGAAAAATGATGATGGGTGTAATGGTTGTACATGTGGAGTTTTCAACACACTGGTTCATTTCTTATGCTGCAATATTTTTACAATATGTTGTTGCCATTGTAAGGCAACAACAAAGTAAAGAGAACAAACTAAGTTATTTCCTCAAACAGAAAGTATGATGCTGTTCGCAATATAAGACTTCTTTGTCGCATCATTGGTATAAAGTGTTTTTTACATTCAGCAGTTTTCTGAACATACGTCTAGACATTTCTGTACAATGTAAGTTATCTCTTTATATTTCACTTTCTAAACGACGAAAGGAAAAACAAATCTGGATGAATTTGATCCCTCGGTAGCATAAATCACAACAAAATTACATGAAAATTGCAGATTTGCTTAGATTGAGGATGTATATGAGGGATTTATAAAACAGTGCAACATCTCTCACGTCCTTACCCCACAGGATTAAGCGGTACACTTAAAATTTTAGAATTATTGATCCCGAACTACTCCATTTAAGGGTGATATGCTTTTTTTTAACTTGTCTCAAATTGCAATGACGAGATATTAACACGATTTTATATGTTTATGATAAAAAAAAGGACACTCGATTATCTGTGAGCACGATAAATTGGTGGTTTCGAGTCCTATGAAGGACTTTGGATTTTTTTCATGTAAATACCGGAGCATTGGTGGTTCTACTCTGGTGATCGATTTGGCATGAAATAATGCACAAAAGGGCAACTGAGGTAATCCTCAACAAATTAACTTATAATGTCGCTATATGACCTCTACTTCGTTAGTGCAATGTAAACCTCGAAAAAATAAGATGAGTGTATATTTGCTTATATATATTCTTAAATGAACGTTATTGTTATTTTATCATTTATATAAGTTAAAGTTCGATTGTAGAGAAAGCTACTTGTTTATATGAACCATATCATAGTGCGCTTCCTGAAATGAACCTGTACTTGAGATACCTGGTTCTAAATTTAACAAAGATCCAAAAATAATATTTTTCATTTTAGAATTAGCCATAGAATTGTAGAAACAAATCACATGCTGAAAACAAATGAAGCTTAGTTATGAAGATGCTTGCGAATTTGCCAAAGACATTAAGAAACTTTGATTCATTTGTTCAATGACTGTGAAATGATGAAACAATTTTGGCTGCAACTTCAATCTTAATAACAAATAAATGTAGTATTAATTTTGATAGCTGGACTGCTTAAGATATATTATTTGGTAATACAAAGTTGGATTTTATCTTAAATAAGATAATATTTCTTATATATTATAGTAAAATAAAACAAATAAGGCCTCGATAAGAAACTTTAACGGCACAAATTGTTGCCAATTATAACATTGAAAAATTTGTTGCCAAACAAACTGTCAAGTATAAAAAGTTTGACAAGTCATGGGAAAAGTTAAATGCCTAGTTCCTCCAGCTCCAACTCAATGGAGAATATTATATACATGTAAATATAATTCATAGGTTTTATGTAATTTCTATTTACTTTTTCCACAATACAGTACATGATTACAGGTTTAAAAATCAGGACAAAATATAGGAATAAAAAAGAGTGTCTTAAGTCCTACTCACTAGCATTATAAAATGTGAACATTTGCCGCCTTATTCGCATCCTTTCTGATTCTCTTGTTAAATCGTTTTTGCATGTATTTATATTTTATTCCTTTACTTGTCAGTAAGAAGGAAACCCTTGTGCACCAGAGACCTTTGATATGTCATTTTTTTAACAAAAAACATAAAAGGTTTACTGTCTTCGTAATTTTACATTTGTATTTATATTCGGATAAAGTTTGTATATTACATATGTATATAAAATTTATTATTTAATATATATTTTTATATATATTCTATATATACTTGTAAAAAGTGTTGAAGTTTAAACTTGAACTATGAGAAGTGAATAATACACCTGTTTCGACCTGAATTATTGAAAGTAATAAAAAATAAAAGACCTTTAGAGGTCACAGTGTAAAAGAAATTGTTCACATCAACTTATTATTTCAAGCAATTATGCATGAAATAGTATTGCTAATCACTATACTGAATGAATAAAGACATTTTTTACATGTATGGCTAATTTACTTTATACATGATGTAAGGCAGACAACCCCTAAGCCTATACTAGAAAGATTGTGTGAACTCTCTTACTATTAATAAAAAGTTGTAAAAAAGTTTTTATATTTAAAATATGCATGTTTGTATGCGATCTAGTTTATTATAATCTGTAAACAAGATAAACAAGTTTTACACTAACTTATAATTGAATGTACTCGTAAACACCAAATATGTGGAATTGTATAGTAAAAATAATTTTATTTGCAAAACCTGGTAGTTAGCTTAATTTGCTAGGGATTTAGTAAGTTTTGTGAAACAAATTAAATATTGTATACATTATATGATAATGTTTTATTTGTTGTTGTTTTGTTGAAAACACTAATATTTTATAATATAACTATGCATTTTCTTGTGCCTGGAAGTGGCGGATGGTTCCCCGACCCCAATTTACACAGTAACAGCGAAGGAATTTAGCAACAGTGTTGCTGAAATAAAAAGATGCTGGTTCTGATGTTATGTGAGGGAACATCGTCGTGACATAAAAGTGCTTGAAACCATGACATCACTAGGATTATAGGAATGCACCTTAGTGACTAGGATAACTCCTCCCTCTTTGAAGCTTAATTAATTGTACATTGTAAGACAGTTCTTTTCTAGAAAACAACTTGGTTGGTACCAATCCATGTATAACAATACCCAAAGAATATTGTGTCCCGGTAAATAATAAACATCTAGGCTGAATTATTATTCTTTAAGTATTCGTGTTCAAATTCAATAAAAACACAACATTATTTATTTCTGATTTTGATCAATATTTTTTATCACAATTCCTTCTTTAACAACGAATTTATTATACTGCAAACAAAATGAATGACCTTAATTCAATATCGACCGCAGTCGTGTATATAGATTATATAAACATCACGATTACCCAATGAAAAGCGACGTACGGAGGTACAGTATATTACAAATACATTCGTACATATAAATGTACATGTATATCGTTAATATATCAGTAAGATATATTTTCTTTCTTGGTAAATTTTCGCATTTCGTTGGCACAAAATATGTCGACCTGGCAATGTGAAGGTGATTTTTCACTTTTGATTATGCATTTATCTTAAATGACGATAGATGGCTCTTTATTGTAACGGTTACTGAAAGATATATCTATTGTGCTATGTTCAAACGTAAAGCTATGAAAATATAAGTCATTTTTGAAAAATGCGTGAGCAAAATGTGGATCGTGTCGGGAAAGACGCTACGGCGAGTTATATACCTTGAACATATTTTATATAGTAAACGGGTGCTGAATAGTAATTTTGTCTTGATGATCAAGGTGAGATAATTTTATGATAATTTGACCAGTATTGGCAAGGCAAATGTGCCGAACGCCTGTGTTTTTTTAGGTAAGAATAAAGTGTATTTGTTCAGAATTATTATAAAACATGTATGTTTGAAAGAAAAATTGAAATGCTATCTGACTATATTCTATACTTATGTCTAGTCTTATATGATAAATGTTTTAATGCCACATGATTATATGAGATAGTGTTTAAAAGAGAGCTTTGTCGTCATGGGTTAAGGTGTGTCAAACATGAAGAGTATAGATTTCCCCGATACCTGCTGGAAACTTCAGACAATTCAAAGTAAATATGTCTTTTATGGAAGGTCTAAAATACAATTGATAATTACGCTGATAGTATCAAGTATCAAAGATTACAACCAACCAGGAAATAATTTTTAATGAATGTTATTGGCAAGTGTGAGATAAATGATCCGATATAATAACATATATCTATATAGCAGATAATAAAATATAGAAAATATAGAGTTTTACAATATTTACATCCCTTGCAAAAAATTGCAGCCATTTTGGGGAATGACAGACTATCTCTCCCTAACCAGTTCCCCCCCTGACAGTTCTCTCCCAAACAGTTTCCTCCCCTGACGGTTCTCTCCCAAATTTGAAATATGCAGACAGTTCTCCCCCAAGTTTTTTTATAAGTTGTCATTTCAGTTTTTATTTAATCTAACAATATATCTTAATGAAATTGATTAGAAGGATGTGTTGGATATTAAATGCATTTTATGTTTAACTGAAAAGTGTTTGTAAATTTTAACACCTTTTTCATGTAATTTAATGAGAGACAGTGATTGATATACATAAATATAAAATATCGGTCAGAATGAAAATAAAACAAAACTTATATAAATTATTTTCTGTCTATTAGATGCTGTATTACTTCTGCTAAATAAATGATATAAATTGAGTATGCAGTGCAAAATTAAACAGCTACACCATCTATTAAATACAAATTTAAGTACAAAATATCATCTGCCTAGATGACCTAAGTTGTGTTGGCGCGCCGTTAAAGCAAATCAAACAAAGAAACAAAAACCCACAAAGCCTGATCATACTGGACGGATATGCAGGCTAGCTGGCCTGGTTGTATACTGGTGGCAAATGCAAATCAATTTGGTCACGTGATGTTATTTAAATGAACTTGCATTCCTTGTGATAATGAATCGCTTCTAGCAATCGTTTAATCATTTATCGATTGCTATGTGATTATGTTTGGATACAGAAAGTTTTTTCTAATAGACTTATCATTCGTCAAGAAAATTCGAGATCGATTACAGTTGACTTACTCTACATGCGTAATTATCTCTTGTGTAATACACTATTGACTTAGGATAAATTTATTTACCTAAAATAGTGGATAAGGGAACACGTACTTTTTCTGATCATGTAGCATAATAAGTGAACTTAATTCTGACGTTTTATAACGAATGGTGCGTTAAAATAAAAGTGAATCTACTTTGATGGTAGCAAACTTTGGAGCTTTTATGTGAGTAGTGGTAGTATGCAGGTGACATATTTTATAAACAACAACAAAGTTCCACTATTTTGAATATATCTCATAATCTGAACTTGTTTTTTGGTGGGATTTAAAAAAAGATGATTAAAGAAAACTATTTTTTTAACTAACAAAGTAAATTAAAATAACCACGGTCCGTAAGTGAGACCCCATTGCTTGTATCTTTTATTTCATGCATACAGACAAATACAGACATAAAAAAGCCTTAAAGCACAATAAAATATACAATTGCATTACCGTTATCATACAACATATTGAATCTAAGTAAAGTAATGGGTGCATATTTATAGAATTTAAAATTGCAAAACAATACAATATTAGAGACTTTATCAGACATTATTGTGGTATTAAGGGATTAATAGTGATGAAATCTAAGGCTCATGGAACATAAACAATAATTAAATTAATACTTTTAATCCTCTGCCATTTATTACATACTGTGGCATGATGTATGACGTTACTCAACTATTATTTGCAAAGATTGGTAGTCTGAATTCTTATTTTTTATAATTTTCATCACATACAATCATGCAATATTACGTAATTTCAAATCACGAATAAGTAGATCGATGAATTTAAAGGCAAATTTGGATGGCAGTAAAAAGAATCCGAAAGATATCACACTATTTTTTTCTCTACATTTGTTACCTCAGCTTTTATTCACCGTGAATATGTTAGAATAACATAAAGCTTAATTGTCATCACTTTTGTTTTACATCTAAAGGAAACATGATAATAATTATATGGTACAGGAAGGAAGTATAATTATTGTTATGAATCAATGTTGCATGAAAGAATTTAACAGAAGACTTATAACATTGAATTCAATCATTTTATCATTATTGAATTTAAATATTAAAAAAAAAAACAATTATTTTAGGTATGATATTGTTCATAATCCTAAATCTGCTTAAAAAGAAAGTGATTGGCCTTTGCCGTCGAGAAAGTCATGCGGTTAGACCAAGCTCTAAATAGCACATGTTTAGTATTATGATACTAAAACCTGTTAAATATTGAATGGAATATTGCCAGTTCGAAGCAGGACTAATTCATTTCAAAACAAAATAGCGATGTAAATAAATGTTAATGAAAAAGTGATCATGCAAGTATTCAAAACAACGGCTGTTAAATATGCTGTAATTTCGGCATGTATATAATATAATATTTACATGTAACTTGTAGTTTAAGTGATTAATGAACGTTATTCTTCCTCTTCTTCTGCTTCTTCTTCTCTCCCTCTTCTTCTTCAAAATCGTCACCTTCTTCTTCTCCTTCTTCTTCTTCTTCATCATCATGTAAATTGCATTTTCCAAAAATCCTCGGCGGTTTTCAATGATCATGATAAAGTAAATTTTGTTTATTCCGATCTGGAGATAAAACATTGTAACGTAAATTAACACTTGTAACAAATTTATCCATTTTAATACAAAAATTTAAACTTTTAATGGACTGTTTTCCTACCCGGGCAAAAAGGTACTTAAATGTTTAATAACCTAAATCTGAAACCTAGAATAAATATTATGTTACACAAAAGGCATATTTTATAACATCTTTATTAACACACATTTAAATTTAGAGTTTGAGGGATATTAACCACTCATTTCTTATTGATCAATTGCAGCTATGTTATATAACATATTCTTTCATCATGATGTTAGAATGGAAATGAAGAATTGGTATAAAAACGCACAGGTTATCGTTCAAATGCTTTGAAATAAATCGCTCTTGGTGATTATATTCCTGCTTATTAGAACTCGACTTGTGCATTATTCTACTCAAATTTTTTATCTATTTTTAAACTTCCATTTAGCTTAAGTGACTTTTACATAATTCACTCTTTAAGATAAAGGGCAGTTACTCTACTTCACATGTTAAATTCAGTCAACTAATTATTATTTCCCTTTCTGTGAAAAAAGTTAAGTAAAAAAGTAAAAAGTTATTGCATTTTATAGTCTAAGCTTCATGCTTACGCACGTTCACCGACTTTACAGCTATTACCCCTGGTCATCGGGCCACTGGTATCTATCTATCAATCTCCCTGGGGAGTCTTTTAACTCCGCTTAGTGCAGCCGACACTTTGGCGCAACGGAATTATACCACCCTCGCAGGTACCCATTTACACCTGGATGAAGTGAAGCAATCGCAGGTAAATTTCTTGCTCAAGAATTTAACATGTGAAGTAGAGTAACTGCCCTTCTTAATAATGCACAAGTCGAGTTCTAATAAGCAGGAATATAATCACCAACGTTAAGACCGATGTATCGATGGCGTAATAATCACACGCTGTAATAATAACAAGCATGGTTTTACATACAAATATCTTGAATTATATACCATTTTTTCCAAAATTAATTCCGAATCTAATGCGAATGCTAGGTTTTTCAAAAACATCGGAATGTCTTAAAAACATACATGTATTTTACAGGAACTTTCAATATGACAATAGGTGTCCTTTCCTTAGGAATACATAAA